TCATTTTAAACTTATTTTCTATTTATAAGAATATGATGGTTTTAAATATTAGTATCTTTTATTTTATTTTAAAATTTGATATTTAATTTATAAAAATATATATTTATAATCATAAATTCGAAACAGTACGCAAAAAATTCCAATATTTAGTACGTACCGTTCTAATAACAAAAACGATATGCATGCTTGTATGGTATTGACAACTTTGTTTATAGGTCAAATTGTAGAAAATATAAAAAAAAATATTTTAGTGTTAAGATTCGAACCTATAATTGGTTAACAAGAAAGTTATTTATATAGCCTAAATTGTAAAAAATATAATTTATAGCAAAACTATTTTTTAAATGGAATTTATAGCATATATATATATAAATTTTGGTGTGAGAATTTGAATTTAAAATTTTTAAGCAAGTGAAATTTAACTAGTATGCTACACTAAATTACTTTTTTCATTAATTAACAAAAAAGTTATTTACAGCTCAAATTGTAGAAAATACAAAATTAAAAAGTCTTAACACCAAGATTTGGACCAAATTTCTAAATAAGTAAAATTTAATGAATGCCAAGTTAATTTATTTATTGGTTAACAAGAAAATTATTGAGAGCCCAAATAGTGACCTCCTTTTTCCATATGATTCCTTGGTTTTTTTGTCGGGCTACATTGGAGGAGGTGAGTCACTTGCAAGCTATTTTACAACTTTATGGGGATGCTACTGGACAAAAAGTTAATTTCACTAAATCTGCTGCAATTTTTAGTCCTAATACTTCAAATGAAGTTAGGGAATTAATTTGTGATCAACTTGGAATTCAACTTCAATCTATTGTTTCTAAATATCTGGGCTGCCAACTTCTTGGGGAAGGTCTAAATAAGATGGTTTAAAATATATAGTTGATAAAATACAAAATAAACTTGCTCAAATTGGGAAAAGACACTTGTTATCGCAAGCTGACTGTGAAATCTAAATTAAAGTTGTTGCTATGGCCATTCCTACTCTCTCCATGTCCTATTTTTTATTTCCTGTAGGAGTCTGTGGAGATATTAATCAAATTATCAGGGAGTTTTGGTGGGGACAGCTGATTGATAAAAGGAAAGTATGTTGGGTTAGTTGGAACCAGCTTTCCCAAAGCAAGCATGTTGGAGGTACGGGCTTTAAGGACCTCTACTGTTTTAATTTTGCTATGTTGGCTCGGCAGGCTTGGTGGATCTTAGAAAATCCTAATGATTTATAGGTCCGAGTGTTCAAAAGCTTATATTTTCCAAATTCTTCTTTTTTTGAAGCTAAAAAAGGGAGTCATCCTTCATGGGCGTGGTCAAGCATTTTGAAAGGCATGGATATTATTTAGCTGGGAGTAAGATGGAATGTTGGCAATGGTCAAGACATTCTCATTTATCAAGACAAATGGATTCCCACATTACCTGGTTTTAAGGTAACTTCCTCCCCGAGCACTAATTCTTTGTTTTCTTATGTTTGTGAGTTGCTTGATGATTATGGGGAGTGGGATGTCACTAAGTTAAACACATGCTTCAATAGTGGGGAATGTCGGGAAATCCTTAAAATTCCTATTGGGGCTTACTTGGACTCTCTCGTGTGGCATCATGATAAATATGGGAGATTTTTTGTTAAAAGTGTTTATTTTCTTGCACTTCATACTGTTCATGATTCTAATATGGTTAATGATAATATGATCCTTTCTTTTGGTGAGTGGAAACATATATGGAAATTGAAAGTGCCTCCTAAGATTTGAGTTTTTTTGTGGAGAACCATACTTAATGCTTTGCCCTTAATGGATAATTTGGTGAAAAGGGGATTGCACAAGAGGTGTCATGTCCCTCTTGTCATTTAGTTGATGAATCCTTCATGCATTTGCCTTTTTATTGCTCTCATGTGAAACCAATCTAGTTTGGTTTAGTCTTGAGTCTTGACCCTCAGCAACTGGGGGTGGATTGTTTTGTGGAATTGTGGAGGTATATCAAGAATGTTGCTAAACATATGTGCTTTCCTTCTCTGGTGGATAACTGTGATATTATTTGTTAGCATGTGTGGAAGGTAAGAAATGAAAATTTTTTTGAACATGCTGAAATTTCTCCTCACCAGGTTCTTGCTCGTATTTATTGTATGATTCAAGAGTATTCTACTCCAAACAGTTCAGATTTGTTGGTCTACCCCAGATTACTTTGTTCATTGATTAATAGATAAATTATTTATAACTTAAATTGTAGAAAGTATAAAAAATATTCTGGTACTAGGATTCGAACCTGTCATTGGTTAACAAGAAAGCAAAACTTTATGTTAAGTTCTAAATTTACCTTAAATTCTTAAGTAAACTCATAAACTTTTATTAAAAACAAATAAGTTCATAAAGTTGTTGATATGAGCAATTTAACCATCTTTCTTGCAATAGACTTAATATTTTATTTATATAGATACGTTCAATAACCACCATATAGGCAAATATATATATATATATATTGATATTAAAATTATAACCACCATATAGGCAAATATATATATATTGATATTAAAATTTAAACTTGAAATTTTTAAATAAGTGAAATTTAATCGATGTCCTACATTGGATTATTTTGTTCATTAATTAACAAAAAAGTTATTTATAACTCAAATGGTAGAAACTATAAAATTAAAAAAATTTCAATACCAAGAATCAAACCAAATTTTTAAACAAGTGAAATTTAACTAATGCTAGATTACTTTCTTTATTGGTTAACAAGAAATTTATTGACGGCCCAAATTGCAAAAAATGTAAAAAAATATTCCCATGCTAGTGCTGGAATATCATTAGTTAACAAAAAGGCTATTTATAGTCTAAATTGTAAAAAATATAAAAAAGATTCTAACATCAAGCTTTGAACTTGAAATTTCTAAATAAATAAAATTTAACTAATGTACTACACTGAATTACTTATTTCATAGATTGACAAGAAAGTTATTTACAACTATAATTGTAGAAAATATAAAAAAAATATTCTGGTACCAATTCAAACGTGTCATTGGTTTCCAATCCTAAATTGCAGAATATATAATTTTTATAGCCTAAATTGCAGAAAATATAAAAAAGCCATAGTGCTAGGATTTCAACTTGAAATCTATATATATATAAAAAAAAATTAATCAATGTGCTACACTGAATTACTTAATTTATTAGAGAACAAGAATGTCATTTATAGCTCAAATTGCAAAATATATTAAAAAATATTCTGGTGCTAGGATTCGTAAATGTCATTGGTTAACATGAAAGTTACCTATACCCTAAGGCCTGAGTTTTAGAAAATATATAAAAGAATTCTAGTGCCAAGATTTGAATATAAAATTTTTAAACAAAAGAAATTCAACCAATGTACTACACTAGATTACTTCATTCATTGATTAACAAGAAAATTATGTAGAAAATATATATACAAAAGAAATTTTGATGCCACAATTCAAACTTAAAATTTTTAAACAAGTGAAATTTAATCAATATATTACAACAGATTAGTTTGTTCACTGATTAACAAGAAATGTATGCATAAAATATTAAAAAAAATTATAATACCAAGATTCGAATCTAAATTTTTTTTAAAAAAGTGAAATTAGTAAAATTTATCCTATGCACCACACTAGATGATTTTGTGTATTAACAAAAAATTTATTTCTAGCCTAAATATATTTTTAAAAAAAATCTTAATTTCAAAATTGAAACATGAAATTTCTAATTCAGTATAAAATTTAGGACCTGTTTAGTGGAGTTTCTTGAAATTTTTACTTTTTTAATATTGGTTATGAGTCATAAATTTAAATTTTTATTGGAGGAAAAATTTAAAAATTGTTTTTAAAAATAATAAGAAGTGAGTAAAAAGTTAATAAAAAAGAATTTTATAAAAAGTAAAAGTTTGAAATTTTTCAAAATTTATTATTTAAGATCTTTTTAAAATTAAAAAAAAATTATAAGCTTTTTTATAAAAAAATTTAAACTTATAAAATATAAATATTGTCAAAAAACTGAAGCTACACTTACAAATTTTACCGAACATGTTTTTAATCAATGTGATACCTGGCATCACTTTGGTTAATGATTAACAATAAAATTACTCATTACCTAAATTGTATAAAAACTAGTAAAAAAAAAATTATTTACCATGCCAGGATTTGAACACGAAATAATTTCGGTGCCAGGAAAATCTTTTACAGTCAATTTGGACAGCAAGTGGTATTTTTATTTATATATATAATTTTCAGTTGGCAAGAAAAGTATAGCTGAGCAACAAAATAATTTTTTTAACAATGTTTAATATTGAAGTACAAGTCATCAGGCATTTGAATAGCAAATTAATTAAAGCAAACGCAATATAACATTTTGATGGTGACTATCATTTTGCTCCAATAACAATTGTTTTTCCTGTACAACCTTAGTGGAGCTGCCATGCTCAAATTTGAAAATCAGGAATTGAGTGGCATGAATATGACTCTCGATCACAAAGCACCAGACAGATTTTCCAAGATTTAATATGGTATGTCGGTTCAGTTCACAAACAAAAATCTCACACCCAACCAATCAATCATCACATGAATTGATGCCAACTACATCCCTTGCCCTTTTTTCTCATCCATTTGCCCTTGTGACGCCGATGCCAACGCCAATGCCAATGCCAATGCCAATGCCAATGCCATTTTGTGGTGACCATGAGCTGAAAAGCAATGTGGGCAAGAATGGTTGTCAAAAATTTGCCCATGCTTCCACCAACTTGATGCTGCAAAGGTATGAATGAAGGTAGAGGAGATGATATGAGCTACGGTTCCTTTTGTGAGTTGTCTCCAGCTGCGATTCGACTCTGCTGAAATTGAATGTTGTACTGTCTTTGCAGATCTCTAAGTTTATCAAGTAGTTCTTGGAACGTAGGTCGGCATTGTGGGTCACTGGATTTGAAGAAGTTGCATGTCCATTAGCAGAAAATTGCATGTTGTTATCATAGTTGCAAATATTTGTAATGACTGAGAACCACACAATAGAGAAGAAAAAGAGTAGACTGGTGACCTAATGTCTAATGACTTTGACAACCTATACAATCCACATCCTAACAATAACAAAAACCTAAGAAAGTGCTGGTCTTGATGTTTCTCACCACAATCAACTCCAACCAATGACCTAAAACCTATTAAAAGTAGATTAAGCCATAGATGATGACCACAAATCAACTTACAAAATCCTAATCCCAATTCCCACCAACTACTTCATGATGCATAACTTGATTGTCCATTTCAAGTTCTAACACTACTTTGGACTACTTTTCACTCTCAGAAAACATGCAAAATCGTGGCGTTGAGGAAAAACCTCTAGCATTGTGAGCTTCAGTACTAGTTGAAGAATTTATGTAAGAATATCAGGGTATGTATTGTCCTCAGGGACAACAGGGTATGTCAAGGAATTATGCAGACAGTATATTACGTTACTAGTTTACCCCTCTATTCCAGAATATGAAAAGAAAATCAAGAGAGATAATTCTGAGGACAGTGCACCTGTGCCAGCAGCTTTCAATTATAGAAGCCCACCGAGGATCAGCTTCTTTTGGAATCTCCAATCTTTGGTTCATGAACCCCACAGCACCAATCACCTGCAAGTGTCCTAAAGAGATTGTTGTTCATACCATGGAAAAAATTGTTTTTCATCTGTGCAGAGCTATAAACCACATTTTCTACATTATTAGTCAAAAGAATTGGCAAATTATGGAGTCTCTACTTAGAACATCCACTTCACCAACGCCAGCACATTAAATCCACTCCTTTTTTTATCAGCAGAGAAGTGATAATATTAGTAATTTAAAAAGGGGAAGCACAAGAAGTGCATCCCAACAACAGCTATTAAATCCAATTTAGATGTTTGCAGAGTTTATCACATTTTATGATAGTTTCACTTAGTGGAAAAGAATGATTTATAAGTCTTTCAAATGAAAAACTATACCTGCATTGAGTTGAGATTATCCCAGGGGATCTTCTCAGTGGCGATCTCCCACATTATGACTCCAAAACTATACACATCAGACCTGGACATTTCCAGAGCACAAGAAGAAATGCAGTGTCAGAAAAAAGCAGATTGGCAAGAGAGAAAACAGAAAAGAGTTGATAATGAAAGGGCAGAACATACTTCTCATCTGAGGGTTCATTACGAAGAACTTCTGGTGCCATCCATTGTGGCTACAGAAGGGAAGACAGTAATATGAGTCAAACAAGAAATTCAATCTTTACCATCATGCAAAAGATTTTCACTGAAAAGATCAATTTATTAGGGAAGAAGAGCTTAGAGGTTTCAGTAAATACCGTTCCTTTCCCTGTCTTCGTTGTGAGATATGTTTCATGCTTGAGACGTGACAGACCAAAATCTCCAACCTGAAGATGACCATCATGTTTCATCTTAACCTTGTTTAAAATGTCCCCAGAATCCCATAACAAAGCTCGAAAAAGGGCAACAAAAACCAAAAAAAGATTTGCCAGAAAATACTAAATGGTACACACAACTAACGGCTAACCTTCACGGTCCAATTCCTGTCAACTAGAAGATTTGAAGACTTCAAGTCACGATGAATAATAGGTGGGTTGCAATGATGAAGATAATTCATACCCTTTGCCTACAGAAGTTTTAAGCAATAAAAATGAATGATAGAAGGAAACATTAACCATGGTGAAAATATAGGACTTACGATCATCAACAGAAAAGTAGAAAACATAGCAATTGTGTAAGATGCCCATGAAAACGAAAAAAAGAAAAGAAAAGTTGAATAGATGATGAAGGTAAAAAGATGACAGGGAGATGTTGAGCCAGCCAATGCCAGTCAAAAGCCATCATGAATTGAAAAAAAAAATTAAAACAGTCAATCACCACTCACTATATCTAAAGCCAAGTTAGCCCGCCGTCTCCAATCTACCTTGGTTGTATTCCTCTGTAGTAAGCGAAACAAACTTCCACTGCATCATTGAAATTAACAAAAATACAGTTAGCCCCAGAGTTTTGCTAACTTTAGGGATAATTCCATTAAAAGATAACTAAAAGAACAAAGGTGCTGTCCTAGAGGCCAATGGATATTCAGAAATGAATGGTATAGCTATAAGGACAAGTGATGTAGAAATGTCAAAGGCTGAGACCAAACCGTGGAAGGAACTCTGTAACAATGCAGAGACGCTGTGGAGAAGTCACAGCTCCCATGAATAGCAGTACATTTGGATGCCGAAGCTTTTTCATCAGAGATACCTTGAAAACATAATCAAGAAGTGAAAACGGTGTTTCATAAGAGAAAGGAAGAGAAAAATACAACAGAATGCAAATAAATGAGGAAAGAGATTCCCATAATTTGATAAAAAATTAATTTACAAAGCATTGAAATTTAACATCTGGTGCTATTTGCAGAAAATATGATGTTATCAGAGACAAAAATTTTAGAGAAATAAATGAACAGTAGTATTGAAATCACTACTTTGATTATCCAAGAATCATGGTTTAATGGCTTTCTAATTTAATCAACATAAATGATAATGGACCACACATTGCATATTTGTACACTCTTCACTCAAGAAAGATCTACTTTCAAGCATTTAATAACTTGGAACAATAATCTGACAATATGGCACACCTCCTGTCTAAAAGAATGCATCATGTCATCTGAATATTCCTGCTTGGAGAACACCTTGATAGCAACGTCCTGCAATAACACAGAGCTCATTCAGTGTGACAGTGACCCAATTAGGAAAGTAATTACAATGTTCTTAAATTTCTTCCAATTTTCCATTTTATTATTGACACCAGTATTTAGCAAGAATAAGAAACAGGAGTTGATCCAGAAAACTATTCATGTATTAGGCTCACCACTGGCATCATTCAAATAAATTTTTTGCTTCATACAATAGTATCTCACATTCTCAGTACAAGTTAACAGATCATAACTATGTATAAGGGCCTATATTTGGCAAGAATGAAGATGACAACAAAAATTTTTTAAAAAAAGGTAGAATAACTCATCCATAATATTAATCCAGATTGATGTACATTGTGTTCTATGCATTTTAAACACTTAATAGAAATGAAGGTATCAAAAGGAGAAGAACATACTGATCCATACCACAGACCATGATATACAGTTCCACAAGAACCTGTAATGAGAGCAAGAGAGTGTCAGCATAAGCATCAGAAAAAGACCCACTCACCCTCATGTGGGAAAAAAAAATACATAAGCAATTTACAGGCAAGTAAGAATAATAAAACAAAGGAAAAACATGCAAAAATAACAATGAAAATATTTGTTAGGAAAATATTTGGATTTGTGAATTGATCAGCAATATCCAGTAAGGATGTAAAGAGTAGAATTTTAGTTTAGTTTAAGAATAAACTAGTAGTGCTGCTCAGTATCATCTCAGTCTTCCTTTCAGATCACTAAATGATGAAACAGCTACCCTTGAAAAATGATTACCTTGCCCAATTTGTTCTGCAACAGTCAAGTCCTCCCACAAGATTTCATAGTCCAAACAATCAGTGTCCATGTCCACTTTATTTACCGCACTACTGCCAGTACTTCCACAACTGCTGGCACTACTTGTGCTGTTAACATTAACAGAAGAGGACCAGGACCCTGGTGCCTCATTATGGACAGGCCTATTATTTTCATAGACATGGCAATCATGCTTTGTTCCAAAAGAGGGATTCTTTTGATAAGCTGTTTCATTCTCTTGATCCTTGTTCAACCAAGGCCAAGCAAAACGTCCACTCCTTGGCTCAGATCCTTCTCGCTCATTCCCTTTCCATGGCCATGTTATACCTTTTTTACCCATCCACTGCTCTGCCTTTGAGGTAATCTTGTGAATAGCAGATTTCCCCTCACTCTCATCACCAGAATCTCTAGAGGGTTTTGCTGGGGACTTCTCCTCAACATGAGAAACCACACCAAAGGGAGATGGAGGTATGTCTCCTCTAGGTGTACTGGCTCTGCTAGAATTTGCATCTTCTTTATGATCTGAAAGAGCAGCATCTGAGAATCCATGTTCAGAATGATGACTATCACCACTCCCACCTTCTCGATCCATGTTATTCTCTCCTGTCCTAATTTTTGACTTGACTTTGTTGCTCACTTTGGTTGCCTGTGTGAGTAAATTCTAACAATCAAAACATGCAAAAATTACAAAAAAAATCAAAGACACTGAAAAGTTATGAGACTAACCAAATTTGAAATTTTGGATGCAATTGCTACTTGTAGAGGCTGCTGAGAATCGAGACCCAGTTTAGACGTAACTGTATTTCTGCTCCAGCTAAAGGTTGATTCTCCTTCCAACTGCCCTTCACCACAACATGGAACTTGCATTTCTTGGAAGGGCTGTGAATCAGTTGATAGACAAATAACTCCCACCAACTTACCATCATCATCATAGAAAGGAGTGTTTGTGAAAACAGCTAGAAAGCTCTCCCCCTGCTTAGTCTTGACAGGAAACTGCCCTGTCCAGCTCTCTCCCGAGATAAGACGACACACAATATCCTGAGCAATTCTATAGTCCCTGGGATCTGTAAGGAGCTCAACAACATCCTGGCCAAGTGCTTCTGCCGCAGAATAACCATAAACTTTTTCAGCAGTTCTGTTCCTGCATAAAATCAAACATTCCCACGCACACAAAATTGGAAATTTTAATGACATTGAATAATTACAACTTTTGAGCAAAACAAAATAACTATGCTAAAACACATCCAATTACTAGTTTAAACCACAAATTCCATCTCATAATCAATATCAATACAAAGACATCATTTATCAACCGCAACAGTTGAAAAAGCCAAAGAATTTAAGCAAAACACTTCAACATGCCAACAGACTCCGCAGAACAACCCTTTAAGCTCTGCTCTGAACCACTCACCAGTAAATTATTCGGGCGTCAAGGTTAAAGATATATACAGATTGTCCCATGGACTGCAAAATATTCAAATACTGTCTATCAGTGAAATTCACCGCCGATGGCCCGCTTTTTACAGCTCCTCCCCCGCTATCCGCGCTCTCCCTGCTCTTACTCTCCCTCTGCAACGGCGACGAATGCCGAGCCGACCCCGACCCCTTCTTCCAAGCTGCCGCCGGGAACCGAGGACGCTGTGGAGATATAGAGTGAGATCTTTGACGGGTCTGCTCCGGTTTTCCATCCCCAGACTGCTTTAGCTTGGACATTTCCTGCTTGAGATGCTCGTGATCCGCTTCCAATGCTTGGATCTTCTTCAGAAGCTCCTCTGTTGGTGGGGTTTCCATTACAACCACAATCAACTAAAACTCCGCTTCCTCCAACCGATCTCTGCTTCTCCTCCTCCCTTAAATATGAAAAAACATCAAGAAAAACAACACCAACAGATTCAAAACAACTCCAAGAATCAAGGGTTGGTCTCCTCCTTCTTCGTCCAATCAAGTATGGGCATAAAATTGATAAGACCAGAAGGATTCATCATTTATTAACCCCCCCGGCCTCCGTGACTATCCTCAAGCACCCTCCTTTTCTCTAGAAACTTTCCTTTCAGAGGTCAATACTCCAACACCCACTTTCCCTTTTCAGTTCCCTTGCCTTTAGGTTTTGTTCTTCTCCTCTTTCTCTCTCTCTGTAGACTTAATTTTCCTGCGTTTTCCTTCTCTTTCTCTCTCTTTCTCGCCCTTTTTTCCAGCAGTTTTGCGCTTGGTTTCTTCTCTTCATCTCTTTTTTTCTCTCTTTCTTTAAATATTAATCTTTCTTTCTCATCATTATCGTATGAATCTTAACTATTTTAGACCTTATGTTAAAAAGCAGCTCACGCGCCTACAAAGCACGTGGCTATTATTAGCCTATCAAAGTGATGGATTTTTCCTCTATGATCCAATCAAAAGGCGCGTGTCATTCACGGTGGATTCTCTGCTCTTAAAAATTTCCAATTTCCTTTTCAGCTAAAAGTTGTTAGCCCCATACTCTCATCTCCACTCCCCTTTTTTTAAAGCCTCCACTCAAGATTTGTTAATTAGCAATGCCCAAAGGGCGTCTTAAATATATTTAATATCTCTAAGTTTTACATAAATTATTTATAAAATATTGTGTTATATTTCCCAACGCATTAAGTAGTTAAGTAGGTCATATTTTTTCAATAAAAATAAAAAAATTTTAAATTTAAATTATATAGTATATAGATAAATTGAGATAAAAAATATGAGATGGTTATTTATTATTTTGTAATAAAAAAAATTAGTGTATTATACTTAGGGATATATTTAAATTTAATGATTAAAATGATATAGGAGTATTATATTTAGAATTTAGCGTTTGTTCATTGGATTTTGAAAGAAATTTAAAAGAAAAATATTTTAAAAATTATATCATTTTAAATTAAAGTATAATAAAAAAGGTCAAAACAAATTTATTTGGGATTTTTTTTAATTTGATTGACAAATATTTTTTAACTTTAATAATATATGTCATATTGATAAAAATAAAAATTAATTTTTGATAATTTTTGTAAGGCTTATATGGTATTTTTTTTTCTTCAAAAAAAGGGAAATATTTATACATATAAGTGTTTCTTGATTTAATTTAAAAGGTAATAGTCCTTTGTTATAAAATTTAAAAATTGAGATTGTCTTCATGTTGGCAACTTGGGATTGCTTAGGGTTCACATATTGTGAAATTACAATCTTCTCCTTCCATTAATGGGATATTGTTTTATTTAATGAAACAAAGTTCAATTATTATGTAGTGATGGGTGTTTTAAGAAGTTGATATATTACGTTAAGCATGCATTTGTGTTAAGAAAAGGAAGCAATTTTTTTTTTAATTTTTTGTGAAGAAAAGGTGTCCGAGTCATCAGAAAAAAGATTGATGATTGCTTTTTGGTGAAGTATTCGAAGGAAGAATTATTGGCGCAAAAAGGGAGAAGAAACGAAAGAGTTTAAGTTGCCACTCTTTGTTAGTTTTCCGAGAGAAATAAGAAAGGGTTGACCTTACTCAAGAGCTTAGTAATGGCTGCCTAGTTTTTGGTAGATAAGCTACAAAACTCTTTTAGTTTTAGTAGGTAAAAAATAATCCTACTTTAATATAAAAATAAGAGTAAGAATTGACTCTTATGACTTTTATATTTATTATTAATTGCATAAATTATTAGTCACTTATTTTTAAATTTAATTATTGAAATGATAATGCTATTCTTAGTAATATATGTCAAACTACTATATCTATAAAAATATATTGATAATTTATGTGAAATTTATAAGTATAGTGCAAATTTGTTAATAATGGAACACAATATATATTACTTTTATTTTTTTAAAAAAAAGACTAAGAATTTATGTAATATATATTTTAAAAACACAGGTTAAGAATATATTTATTGTATTTTTTAAAAATGTTATAAAAAAATAAAAATTTATTATAAAATTATCAATCATCCTATTAAAATTATTTTTTAATTTTTTATATAAATTAATATATAAAAACATAACAAATACATCCTTAAATATACATATTAAAAACACCTATAAAGTAATTTTAAAGGAGAGATCTTTTATATGTGTTATATAAGATGAGTAATAATCTTGTTTATTTCTTTAACTATTGGCCTCCAAATGCTTTGAATCAAAACTTATAACATCTAAAGAAAGAAGACTATTTTGTCAATAACAAGGACGAAATTAGGGGGTGAGGCCGCCAGGGAGATATATGACTCCTAAATAACATAAGAAATTTTTGTAGTTTTGAGATTCAAGAATATGGAAATGAAAAGGGGGGCAAAGAGCCATTCAATGTGAAATAGAAAAAACATGTTTGGTTTGTGCTCCCGTTCGCCTGCTGAATTGTGCTTATTCTTATTTGATTAATTAATTTTATATTTCGGGGTCAATTTTTCAATCTTTTGAAGCAAAAAAACAAAGGGGCAAGTTGCCAATTTTTGTACCATTATTATTATTTTTTTTCTCGTAGAAAAGCATTGTTTGCGTGAAGAAAATGAAAAAGGGCGTGCACTTGCACAAATTTGGTGGGGAATGTTGATAAAGTCTTAGTAAAGAGACAAAGGGAAAAGGGAAATGCTTTAATTGATGGGAGAATTAATTGAAGAGTGAAAAAATGGGGAAACTAGGGAAGCCTGGTTTTCTAGTTTTTCCAAAAATCTTTCCATAAATTGGAAACTCCTAAGCCTTTCAATATTTGTGGCATACATCCTTATCTTCAACCCTTTAGTTTTTTAGGAGGATAATGTTTATATAGACCATGCAAATTCAATGTTTTCCATGAGGGAAGATGAAAGAAATTGATAGCCTACGTGCCTTGGGCAAGTTGGCATGAAAACTCCATCACTTTTACCTAATTCTATTCAAGGTTTGGAACTACTCAACTCATCCATATCAATCACAAAAAGGAATGAGACTTCTCATATAATTGGTCAATTTCATGGAATAGTTTTAGGGATATATATTTAGGTTGGGAAGGTTTTTCTCCTAGAATAATTTAAAGGTATTTAAAGGTATTTTGTTTGTTGTGGCTTTTTTTTTTTTTTTCCTAAGAGAGTGTCTTTGAATCTATTTTTACATTTTTTTAAAATTAATTTTAGGATGATTTTAAATGTGTATTTCTTATATTAGTCTAATGTATTTAAGAAAATTAATTTCTTTAACTACAAACCCTAATAATTGAATTTGAAACTAACTTATTAGATGTATAATAGATTTAACCCTTAAGGTTATTTTGTTTTTTATTTCCTTCAATAAAGTAGTGGGAGAATTTTGAAAGGTAGAACTTCCTTTTTGTTGGGATTTATTTACAAGTTTTTTTTAAAAAAGTGTAGTGTCAACTTTTCATTGAATATGAAAAAAATAGCAATTCTACAAAAATTACCAACTTTCCAACAAAAATTTCCCACCAAACTTCTCAGGAAATGCTTCCCTCAAACCAATCATGCATGCCCTTAAATGTTTGATTGGCCTAACTTTCACAATAGTTTCTCTACCATAAAACTAATGTTGAAATTTTACATTTGAAACTTACTGAAAGTTAAGAAAAGGGGATTATAACCTAAAGGAGTTTATCATTTTTTCAATAAAAATAGCTATGAAATTCTAAACAATTTTATTATTCAAGGGATAGTGGGCTAGTTTGCTATTGGATCATATTACTAACACTAATGGAGGTGTTTTTATTAAATGTTAAGAAAAAAAATTTTTCTCTGGTCAGGGGCTATAGGAACGCAGCAATTATTAGGTAAAATAATGCACCAGATTAAGTCATAACAAACAGACTCTTTAAAAAATTACCAATTCCTCACTAATTACAAGAAGCACATGTTAATCAAATTCTGAGAGTACCAATGCTGCCTAAATTTTGACAAGGGAACTGACTTTATTACAGAGGAGAATATATAGGTGAATATGGTACAATTATCTGGGCAACTTAGAGAAGATATTATACATAAAATATATGCAGATTACATGCTGACAGCACGAGACAGCCATTCAATCCAATCATAGGTTGAGCTTCATAACTGCAACACTTCATCTTGGAATGGCGCACTGATCAGAAGTGAAGCTGAATATGAGATTTTATGCTACGTTCCAGGTAGGAATTGATCAGCTGCCATGAATAAGAAGGGTTTGATTTGGAAAATGTCAGCATATCAAGTGCAAATGACATTTCAGTGTAGCAAGGCCCAAATTCTGGTTTCTGTTGAAAGCCATTTATCAAAAATAGGTGGGGTTTTAGGTCATGTAATTGGGGAAATACATACAGTACAGAGGGCATATGACAGAAAATATAGGCTATGGTTATGGATGAATCTAAGTCTGGGGTATCCCAAGGGAAGAATTCTAGTTAACACTCTTTGAGCCTCTCTGAGGTATGGGAAGTTCAAGGATAATCAAGAAATAACATCTTTCTGACTCTCTGATGTATTGCACCTCACCATCCATTAGCTTTAAGATTTTTCTGCACAAGCTCAGTCCTAAGCCCTCTTGAGTCATCCATCTACTGCTATGAAACATGTCTTGAACCAATTCAGGGGGAAGGCCTTCACCGGGGCAAACCATCCTTCACGAAAGACAGAATTGTATATCAAAGTGAAACATGATAGGAATGTTACGCAAAATTTTACGATGTTCAAAGTAGGAAAATATATATAGCCTTTGATTGGATAGAATGGAGATCAGTGATTCATGCAGCCGATGCCAACTGGTTTAGGATAAAGACATCGAGTTGAGTGGAGTAATCAAATAACCATAGTCCTTTCCAGGAAACTAAGTTGGTTCTAGTTGGGTTAAACATACCTGAATTCTGTACACACAATGGTGAGTCCATCAGAAATTTGCTTCAATGATGGATGAACGTGAATCTCTACCCAACCTTCTGCAGATGGTGCATAACGCACCATATTCAACAAAAATTCAGCCAAGACCTGTTGAATTCTTGCCTGATCACCACAAACAGCCAGAGTTTTGATCTCCTCTGGAATATCCCGAATCAACTGCAGATTTCTTTCTCTCAGCAATAGCATAACTTGACTGACAACAGCATTTATGACACTCCCAAGAGAAAATTCAGTCTTTTCAAGCTCCATCGAACTAATTTCAAAAGCATACAAAGGATCAGATCATTTCTTATTAAAATTTACAATGCAATCAATACATTACTGATATTGAATAGGATAAAAGTCATGTGAAAACAATATAAAACATATCACTCTAATCTTGGTTGGTGACATCTAACCATTTGACTTGTGATTCCAGGAGCAGTACTCTTAACAAAAATATTAACAGTTAATATAGGGTTTCAAGCTTGAGCTCCACAGTCTTAACAGTTGACTTCCAGACCAGCACTTGATATCAAGCAGTTGCCATTATAAATAGCATAATGACAGAAGACCTCTGAGGATTAAATACATAACATGCATAATGCAAGGAACGTATGATTCTCCTGAAAGCTATAAAGCACAATTCCTAGGGAAAATGAAATCAAATAAATGGCCATCCACAGTTTGTCATCTAAGATATTGTGCAAGCGTATCTTCTTATTATCCATAATAACTATGAATGTTCAGCCCCCACTCCTCCAACAATATAAAGAAGGTACTGAATGAGAGGATAACCTATACAGTATGGCTAAGGTTATCGTTGATCTACAAGATAAATTTCTCAACTGTAATTAGAATTGAAGAAACTAATAACTATAATGCTATACTGCCTAAATCCAATGTAGCTATGAGTTAGATGACTGAAATGCAGTTAATTTGGCATAAGATTGAAGTCCCCTTGAAGTGTCATCATAGAGAAACAACTTAACCCAATAAATCTTGATGATGAACATGAACTTGGTACAATCTTAACAACTTGTTTTGAGAAATAACATCAATGGGAAAACTTACCCATCTTCAAAGCTCTCCAGATCAACATCACTTAAAATCTTCACAATTTGCTTCTCACAAGCAGCACTGGTCTCCAGAAACTGCTTTTGATCTTCAGTCAAATCTGTAGCTTCCAAGAGTGTGTTTACAAAACGGATTCCACTTAATGGACTCTTTACTTCCTGGCAAATATAAGCCAACTCTTTCATCCTTGAAAAACGGCTCCTTTCCTGCTGCCTCTGGACCTTCAGCGCTTGTTGCAACTCTGGGCTAGCAATCTGCAGGAAGCAGAAGGCTCCAACAATCTGGCCCTCCAAATTGATCCTCTTGTTTGCTGTCAAGAGTGCTTGGACATACTTCCCACTTCGGTCAAAGAATGAAAAGGGCAACTTGTCTGTATCCTGCCCTCCAATTGCATGGTGCAAAGCAATCATAAATTTGGTCAAAGCATCTGTACCCTTGAGACGACAGCAACTGCCGAAAACCTCACCAACCAGCATCTTCCCAATGATTTCTTCTCTGGACCACCCTGTGAGCTTTTCTGTGGCAGTATTCCACTCCAAGCAACATGTGTTTTCATCTGAGACAAATATAGGAGGGATCAATGGGTTGGGGCTGTGAATGATTGCCTTGTAATCACCCTGTATGTTGATGAATTTGTCCATCATCACTTTCTGGCCAGTGACATCCTGACCAACAAAGCAAACTCCAACTATATTATTTGTGTAATCCCTGCTAGAGCAAGCATTTACCACCACATATATGGCCTTCTTATGGTTTTCTGAGCCAAAAGTCTTCAATTTTATCTCTACATTCTTATCTTCTTCACCTGCATTGGTTAGAGGACAATCAATACTCCTTAAAAGCCAACACTGTGCATTGGTGATAAGATTAATAAGGGACACTGAATGATTACAACTGAGCCCCTATCCTATGGAGTATGGGGTTGAAAAGAAGAATTCCTGTTCCAATATAATGCCATTGTTGAAGATATTTCTGAAAACAAGGAATGGAGTTCAATTTCCAGTTAAAACTAACCAGTGAAGTCATAGAAAGTTTGCAAAAGAATATCAACTGGGCCACCTTACGTACACATGCAAATAAATTAAGGCAACTTGAATAATCAATGGTATACTCTTTTAACCCAATTTAATGGTCTCTAATTTATTGTCATATTAAAAACAAAGAATATTCATGCACAGGATACATATCTATATCTTCAGAGGCCACTCAGACACACATGATCTTTTGTAGCAACCTATCACTCTATGCATAAAGGTACAACCAAACTGCAAAACAGAAAAAATATCTCTTTAGCTTCTGCTTTACCCCTTTTTTGCTTGACTTATTATCAATCAAAGAGTAGGTTTACGTGTTTATTTGAACTGGACTGTATATATTTGCATTTCTACAGGAAGTCAAAACACACTTCAAAGTTTTTTGAATTGGTAGGAAAAGAGACAAGATGTAAAAGGACTACCTTGCAAAGCACGATAAACAAGCTTGTCAACAGTTTCCTGATATTCTTTGTAAACAAGATCATGAACAAGGGACTTCCCCATAGCTTCCTCAACTGACAGGCTTGTCAACTCCGCAACCTTTGCATTCCATCCATTAATGTGGCAATCAACATCTACAGCAAATATAGGAGCAGTTGCTGTCTCTATTAACCTCACCATTTCTCTTGCAACTGAGCTGAGTTCATCCACTCCTTGTAGCTCTAGCGCCTCAATCTCAGCATGTACAACAGCCTTGGAATTGCTAGCTTCAGCATCCCTAAATGAGTCCCGCAAAATAAGCTGCAATGAGTGGATTGCATCCATCTCTGCATTCTCCCATGGTAAACTCCGACTCTTGACCACTTCCAGAAATGCCTTGAAGGAAGATCGTGGATGCATCCTCTGTCCATCATCCTTGTCCTTGGGATGATGCTTTGCACCACCCCATTTGATCTCTTTTGCTGTGTGGGAGCGAAACCAGAATAGAAAATCCCTTTTAGTGATGTAAGCAACAGCCATTCCACGTACTGCATCACCAAGCGAGGCCGCCCCAGGGTACCCAGCATCAGCCAAGCTATCTGTGCTTAAACCTGTTGAGTCTCCATGGAATGCCAATAACCACTCCACAATATCTTTTATCTGAGTCTCAGTTGGTGTCACACCTAGTGGATAATACTTTCCTTGGTAATAAAGCGCAGCCCCATCACATTTCACAAGGTCCATAGTGCTGGGACTTTGAGTAACAATTCCGGTGGGAGAGTCACGAAGGAGCATATCACACAAAAGAGTCTGGGTTCTTAACACACGTTTCTCTGACAACTGAGATGCCAATTGTAATTCCATATTCAATTGCAGTCCAAATGCCTGCATTAAGAACTCACAAGCATAGCGAAGTGGAAAGGGAATGCACCTAGCAGAAGTGTGATGGCAAACAACCAGGCCCCAAAGCCTCATTGAGTTCCGCCCACCAAGACCTTCCTCCTCATTTCCATTAATGATAACTGCCATTGCCAAAGAAGCAATTGAGCCCATGTTCGCCATATATTGTGCATGGCATCCATGAGGTGCACGGAGTGTAGAACCAACCAAGCAAAGAGGCTGAACTAACCCTTCATCCTGAACGATTTGAACAGGTGTAGCATGGCAATCCACTATCATCCTAACCCTGTTCTGTTTAAACAAAAACCTTGACGCCTGGGGAATGTCAGTCGCAGGATAATGCAACCCAATGTAAGGCTCCAAGTCAGGCCTCTTACTTTCAGCCACAACCTCACCATGTTCATCTTCATGAAATTTATACACCATTACCCTATCATATCCAGTAAGGTCTCTCACACTCTGCACAACTGTATCACACAAAAGCTGAATATCCCCACCAGGAAGCGACTGCAACTGCGAAATTGCACGCACAGCCAACTTCTGTGACTGAACAGCCCCGGCAATAGACAGGGCAGGGTCCTCTGTTCTTGCCGGCTCCAAATCAATCACAATTCCGACATCAATCCTATGCAAAATCGCGTAAAAGGGTTTCCCAGAATTTTTAGAATGAATCCAAACCGGATTCAACAACGTAATTTCTCGCGCCCCAAATGCTTTCTGGAGCATAATTGCACTAGAAGGCGTGAAAAGGTTACGCACATCGGTCCCAGTTGCTAGAACCTCAGGCTTCTCAAGACTGGGCACTGCCTGAGGAGTTATCCCGAGCATCTCACGCGCGTTCTCGCTATACGCGATGACCCGAAAACTGGGTTCGTCGACTGCAATCATGCAGCCAAAGGGCTGGATATGGCCGCCCCTCTGAATTTTAGTCAAATACGCGGTGATCTGTTGCTCGGGAACAGATTCCGTGGGAGTCCTAATAGACTGCGAGTAATCAAACGACTTACCCGATTCGCCGGACTGCTCGAAAACGGCATGGAGGCGGGCGTCTACAGTGTACTGAGCAATGGCTTTGCTGACAGACTCAGTGTTGTGATGGCCTCGCTGGTTGCTGGTAGCCAAGGACTGAGGTTGGTGGTGCTGGTGCTCGTGTGCTGCCCGGCTCCCGGAAGCCATAACTCAGTAAATAAGCTCAAAAAGGTGATTCCTTTGGGGTTTTGGGTTAGGCTTTGGACAAGGGTAATGAAGAGATTGAAGAAGAAGAAGAAGAAGAAAAAGAAGAAGAAAGAGAAGATGAAGACGACGAAGGTAGCCTGAACCCTGAAGCAAAATTGGGAAGGAGAATGGGATCAGACAAACTGTTACTCCCACTGTTGTTTTATTTGCTTTACTTTATTTGATCCATTGGCAGTCTGCTTCCCTGTCTCTGTTTTTCTTCATTCAGACAAGGAGGAGAAGTAAAAAGGTTATTGGACCCTTTTCTTTTCTTTTTTTAATTGTTTACTACTACCTATTAACTCTCACAAATATTCTATGAAAACAAGCTCTTTTTTCATGCTAGATTATTCTCAATTGTGAAATACGTTGTCTTAATATTGATTATTGAGTCTTTCT